TCTTATAAAGATGTATATGAATTAATTCTGAGGTAGCTCAAAACCTAGATATTGTGATATATTCTACACATTTCTGGATCAACCCCTGCATACAGGAGGAAAATAATTAGTCACATGCTCAAACTCTTTGTATTCATATAATAACACTTGTTTCACAAAAGCCTTCAACTCACACATATAACCTACTTGTACTTAGCCTGCATGATAGATGTGACAATAGTTTTGCAAGGAACACTTTCAAAAAGGAAATTTGACCATTCCATTCAACAGAAGTTAAACTATTTGTTTTTCATATTGATTTTTGAACACATAACATGCGGACATGTGGAAAGGTTATGATTAATATTTCAAATTTTTCTTAAAAAAAAAGGAGTAAGTGTTGAAATTTGCGAATATATTAAAGAGGACCATCTCCGTCGCAATGACAAAACAGATAATGTGATTGAAAATACGCGACGTTTATTGCAAAATAAACTTACTACTTCCGATTTCTCCAATCTTGGAAATGAAATCACAAGTTACACAGAAGACAAAAAGAATGACATTATTTTTAAACATGAAAAGAAATTGACATATTTGAGAGAAGAAATGAGTACATCCAAGTCTTCTTAGAATAAAAACGGGAACCAATCCCCTGTCACTGATTCCATATCAAGGTCGCCGTCAGTTGTTAATTATAATAGTGAGCAAGACTGGCAAACGGTAAAAAAAGAAGCAAAGATCATCTAAATCGACAAAGAAATTTACTGTAAATGGTAATAAATGGTAATAATTACCAAAAATCAAAATGGTAATAAAATTTCAACCAAAGCTGCAACAACTACAAAAACATGTTTAATCCACCAAACGTTAGAAAATCAGAAATCAAATAACGTGAAAACCCTAGGCACCAAGAAAACATACAGGGAGGCCGTGATCAGCAGGGAACCTAACAATCCAAAAACAAATCCACTGCTACAAAAAATGTATATCATGTTACAAGAAATAAAGGGAATCGCAATGATAACAGCAAAGCAAAATCACGAAGATTAAAAAAATTCCAGACATGAAAACAATATAAAAAATATAACAAGAGCACTGCTAGGCGGAGCATTATATGCCCAAAAGTGTTTTTTTTTTTTTAGTAAGGATGGAGCATTTGTAAGACATTACATAAATTAAATAAAGTATTACCTCCTACAAATAGCAATCCTCCTATAAATATTGAATATTGTGGGCCAAATGGAACTTAAGTTATGCTCTGGAAACTGTTTTCAGTTTTGAGGTAATAGCGACCTTGAACTTTGACCTTGTGACCCCAAAATCAATAGGGATGTTCTACCTAATATGGACAATCATCCTATGAAGTTTGAACACTGTGGGCCAAATGGAACTTAAGTTATGTTCCGGAAACTGTTTTCAGTTTTAAGGTAATAGTGACCTTGACCTTTGACCTTGTGACCCCAAAATCAATAGGGGTCTTTTATCCAATATTGACAATCATCTTATGAAGTTTGAATACTGTGGGCCAAATTGGAACTTAAGTTATGCTCCGGAAACTGTTTTCAGTTTTAAGGTAATAGTGACCTTGACCTTTGACCTTGTGACCCCAAAATCAATAGGTGTCTTTTACCCAATATGGACAATCATCCTAAGAAGTTTGAATATTGTGGGCCAAATGGAATTTAAGTTATGTTCTGGGTACTGTTTTCAGTTTTAAGGGAATAGTGACCTTGACCTTTGACCTTGTGATGCCAAAATCAATAGGGGTCTTTTACCCAATATGGACAATCATCCTAAGAAGTTTGAATATTGTCGGCCAAATGGAACTTAAGTTATGCTCCGGAAACCAAATTGCTAACGGACTGACGGACGGACCGATGTCAGGGGGTATAACATAATGTTATGCCAAAAAAACTTTTGGGCATATAAAAATGAACAAGCAATTATCATAGTATTGCAAGCAATCCATAAGTCCCCTACCGGTAAGAGCCCAAGCAACATTCTGAAGGGCCATTGGCCATTCACTTATGTTCCTATTTTAAGTAAATTTGTTGAAAAAGTTCTTTAAAAGTGATCACAGGAAACAGTTTTTATGTACAGACAGACGGACTGAAGGACACTCTAAAGTTATTTTTTAAACATCCCTGTTATCAAAATATAACATTTTTAAAATCCTATCATGATTGAAGAAGTTGGAGTAAAAATTACCAATTTCTCAAAAAAAAAATCTAAGTTCAAAAGGGGCATAATTCTGGAAATAGTCTTGCTAGAGTATTGAACACTCACAAATGTTGAGTGATAATAAGAAACATTTATATGAAGTTTGAAGTAGATACATTCAGAAAAAGAAGTTATTAAAAAAAAAAAACAATGTTTTTTCATGAAAATTTTAAGTTCAAGGGAGGTAATTCTGATAAATTTTGTGCTAGAGTTGTAAACCTTGTCACATATGATGTGGTTGATTACAAGCAACTTATATTTAAAGTTTGAAGAAAATACCTTAAGAAATAAAGAACTTATAGTGAAAAAACTTAAAAACTAGAATCAGAAATCTTGAAATTCAGTCTATTTGTTGCCATAGCAACCAGAATTTTCAACATAGGAAGATAAGAAAAGGATGTGCATAATTTCCATACTGCCATATACCCATATGTCAAGTTTCATAAACATATTTTCAGTACTTTTTGTGTTATCACTGGATCCAGGTTATGTGTAAAATTTGCCATATTTTCAGTCTATTTGTTGCCATAGCAACCAGAATTTTCAACATAGGAAGAAAAGAAAAAGACGTGCATACTCTCCATACTGCCATCTATCCATATATCAAGTTTCATAAAAATATTTTCAGTACTTTTTGCGTTATTGCGGGATCCAAGTTATGTGTAAAATTTGCCATATTTTCAGTCTATTTGTTGCCATAGCAACCAGAATTTTCAATATAGGAAGAAAAGAAAAAGAAGTGCATAATCTCCATACTGCCATCTATCCATATATCAAGTTTCATTAAAATATTTTCAGTACTTTTTGTGTTATCGCGGGATCCAGTTTTGTGGACGGACGGACAGACGGACGGACGGACTGACGGACAGACGGACAGACGGACGGAGGGTAAACCTAAAGTCCCCTCCGGTAAACCGGTAGGGGACTAAAAACAGGGCAATAACTCTAATATAAGGCAAGGCAGAATTAGGGGTTTATGAATTGCACTTCCACTTAATAAGATCTATTTACATACAAAGTTTCTTGTTTATATCTCTTGAAGTTTCAGTTTTTGTCCGGTACATTGAAAACAGAAACAAGAACTGTGGGAGGACAGTAACGCTCGACTATTTAAAAAGTTGTCACAAGGGTGTTCATTGAGTATAATAATGCTTACCTATATGAATGCATAAAATTGTCTGAAAAGGTACAAAGGCTTGTTATTAAGATGTTTTATCAAGTAAATCACTGCTTTATTATTATGAATGCATAAAATTGTCCCAAAAAAGGCACAAATCCTTCAGTAGTAATGGAGATACCAGCTTACAAGCAAAACCTTTACCAAGAATTTCTATGCCGAAAAAGGGGCATAATTATGAAAAAACAACAACAAATCAAGAGTAATGAGACTTGTGCCAATCATGTAAGATAATCACAGAGAATAAGTGTGTGAAGTTTCAATCCATTCCCTTCAGTAGTTATGGAGATACCAGCTTACACGCAAAAACTTAACCAAGAATTTCTAAGTCGAAAAAGGGGCATAATTATGCAAAAAAGCAAATCAGAGTTATGGGACTTGTGCCAATCATGTAAGATAATCACAGAGAACAAGTGTGTGAAGTTGAAATCCATTCCCTTCAGTAGTTATGGAGATACCAACTTACACGCAAAAACTTAACCACAGGAACACCAACGCCGACAAATGGGTGACTGCATTAGCTCGATTATTCTGCGAATAGTCGAGCTAAAAAGGGCAATAATAGTTAGGGAAAGCAGAGTAACAGTTCTTATGCAATGCACTTCTACTCAATGATGATCTCTGCCTACAAAGTTTCTTGTTGGTACCTCTTGTGGTTTCAGCCTCAGTTATGTCCCGGACAAAGTTCAAAGTGTTACAAGAAATGTCGAACAACACATATGCCCCACTTTCTAGCCCTTGACTCATACTATTGGTAATTTTGTAATAGAAACATGCTATAAATGGGTACATGGAAGTTGGTTCAGTTATGGAAAAAGAAAAATAATGATCAATATATGACCTGAAACTGAATGAAAGCCATCATTAATAAGTTATACAAGTTGGAGGGTAGCTGGAATAAAATACATATTATCATATAAATGTAATTATTCTGACATTTAAGGCCCCTGTGACATTGCCCTTTGACCTAGTGACCCCAAAATCATCTACTAATTATGACCAATCAATATGTGAAATATGAAGTTTGTGACGAATATTTTTTAGGATAATGAGCTGAAACCATTATGACATTTAAGGCCCCTGTGACCTTGACCTTTGATCTAGTGACCCCAAAATTATTAGTGGTCATCTACTAGTTATGACCCATTACTATGTGAAATATGAAGACATTGTGATGAATAGTTTTCAAGATAATTAAGCGGAAACCATTTTGACATTTAAGACATGTGACCTTGACCTTTGACAGGACTTTTATTAATTATAGCAAACCTGAACATTTTTAGTAATTTCAGAAGAAACACATGAGGATCAAGTTTGCAGACTAGTATCATTTAAGCAATTTATTTAAAGAAGAACACCTAAGGATCACACCAATATAGATTCATTACTATTGGCCATGCGGTTCAGGAGATGTTGAGTAAGTAATAATGTTGACGAATGGTGATAGCAACGGATATTAGGCTATCACAATAGCTCTCCTTGAACGCTGTGAATTTGGTGAGTAATCACATGATATTCCTTAATGCTGTTTTGTTTCAAAAAACTTTGCATTGAAATTCGATCCATTCTTATATTTAAAAGACAAAAAAAACTTACAAATTTTGTTTAAATATTTACTCACTTCTTTACAGCAAGGTGTTTTTCTTGTTTGGCATCTTGTTGGTCTGAGTCACAAAGAAAAATTTGGATCTCATCTGTCAAATAATCCTCTATATCCCTACAAATAAATTGAGAATCAATAAATTTTACATATTCAATTTACTAATTCGACTCTATAACATCTAAACCCCTTGACACTTAGACATCTCGACCACTAGGACATCTTGACCCATGACACTTAGACCCCTAAAACATTTAGACCCCTTAAACTGACTGGACATTTCAACCTCTTACTCTATAATGTGCATAAAGACATTTATTCAGGTGATGATTTATTTGTTATTGATTATCATTCTTCAAGTCAAGTATTCTATATACTCAGTATGAAACATAATGATATATAATCAGTTCAATGAAAACAAACGCTTTTCTTTAGCTTTCGACGTTTAGTATTTTTCAGAAAAAATTTATATTTATTTTTTTTTTTTAATATCAGAAACAGAAACACATGAATTACATTTAAAAAAAAAATATGTATTCATGTTAATATTAATTACTGTAACTGTAACGTTTTGACATTTTTTGTAATTGGAGATTGCCCGTACGAAAAAGATAGCAGGATTCCGCCTAATATAAGCAGGAATACGCTTAAAATTTCCGTGTATATAAGATTTTCCTGCTAATTTAAGACGGACACGGAATTTTGTAAAAAATCCTGCTAAGCAATTTCATATTCCGCCTAAGGCTTAGGCGGAAAATATGGGATGAGCAATAATTAAGACGGGTTTTAGGACTTAGAATTTTGTCAGTTATTTGTTAACAGGAATTACGTACTTAGACTTTTTTGTTAACCAGAAATTGAACTTAGAAAATTTTACTAGACAGATTTCTGAATTTGGAGAAATTTCTGCAGATGACAGGTATATAATAAATCGATTATTAAGTGATCAACAATTATTTTGCTGCTTTTATTCATTGTTAATTTTCAAAACTAAAATATTGTTTGTACAAACATAAACATACATAATCATTAATTGATAAAAAAAACTCCACAACAAAACTAAAACTTGGAACATATTATATAATGATGTTGTGATGACTTTTGCATAGAATATATTTCACTGTGTTAAATTTGGGTATGAACTAAACTCATATATTAAGCTTTTTAATGTAATATAATTAAATGAGTAATATCCCTGAAAATTTCTTATCAACAGGATAAATAAATAAATACTGCCTCTAGTAACCACTCTACTAATTGATTTAACACCACAGACCAGTGATAACACACAGGTCAGATCGTAAATTCTGCTACAGTCCAGACTGTTCCATGTGATTTATTTGGGGGGAAGCAACAGTTACTTTGTACATTTTATATGACGAGTCTGTTAAGAAAGACTTTGCAAAGTTTTTTTAAAGATATTTATTTTGAATTTTGGATTCTTTTTGCATTTATTTTCTGGTATTTTTATATAATTGTGAAAATAAAACGATGGGTTGGATTATCCCTGTTTACCATCATATCATGGACTTGTCCATAATTTGAAATCTAGGAAGTATGGGTCAGCAGAAGCTTAGACAGTGGAAATAAAGCAAATAACAAAGAATTTTATTGATAGTTAAAAATTGTGGTGATAATATATAAGCAATTTTTGAGATAATATTTTGTTTAAAGTGTAAGGATTGAATATTTTTGAATTTTTTAAAGAATAGAAAATAAGACTTAGCCTTGTGAATGAAAATGACAATAATATGGATATGCTCAGTTGTAAATGAATTTTGAATGCTACATTATGACCTTGGATAAGAAGATAAATACCAATATCATAAAAATTCAGGTAAGTAACTTTTGGATACATTTAAACAATAAAAATATATTTCAAATAAATTAAATAATTTTGCATTAAGTTAAACACTAAGTTTGGTTGTAATGAATTATAGTTTAAATGCATGTATAATTATGACTGCATACAATGACAAGAAACAATAATATAAGATATTAGTGGTGGCAGTGTTTTACTGATGACTGTTTGTGTTTCAGGATATGTCTCAAGCTGGTGTAAAAAGAATGGGAGGGGAGGAGTCACGGACAAGGATATTAACGATACCATAAGTAAAGCAGATCAGTTATGCTTGGAATAAAAATGAAAACAACTGGCTGAACAAAAAACATTTACAGTGAAATAAAATGAAATAATTTGCCATGGATTAAAACAATACAATAGCAGTGCAATAAAAAATATAACTTGTGTTTCTGTTTTTTGTGTGACTCTTTTACGTACTGTACATGCACCCTAATGTAGAAAACATTATGGTAAAGCTCATAAAAAAAACTTAAAAGCTTTGTAATTGTGATCACCTATTGTCTGTTTGCAATTTTGGATTCCAATTATTCTTATGCAGCTAAAAAATAATATTGTATCCATCCATAATTCAGCTTTATTTAAGTGTACTATCACAAAATTGAATAACTTCATTTCCTTAGGCGGATTTTTTGCTAGTATTCCTTTGGAAGAATTTTTCTCCTGCTAGTGATTTTCTAAGTAGGTATTTTTTTCCTGGTTAAAATATTTTAGGTGGAATTTTTTCCGGCTAAGAATTTTCCTAAGGCGGAATTTTCTCCTGCTAGTGCTTTCTTTAAGCTGAATTTTTTCCTGGTTAAATTTTCTAAGGAGGATTTTTTTCCTGCTACCCTAACTGTTTTCCTCCTAAGAAAATTTGCATATTTCGCAGCGTATTCCTGCTTATAGGAGGAATCTGTGATATGTAAACCTGAAATGCCTTAGACGGATTACGCCTAGTAGCTAGGCGGAATTTCTGCTTTTTTCAGGGCGGATGTTTCCGTACGGGTATTGTTTGCTGAAATGATTTTAGTCTTATTTAACTATTATGTTAATTGTTTATATTGCGACAATATATTTCAGTTTACGGTACTTAATAGTGTACGTTTGGTATACGTATTTTCAATAAACGTTTGATATCATATAATGTAATAAACGCTTCAGTGATAATGATTATTTTAATCAGCCAATGAAAATAAAGTCATGCTTGAGCAATCACCTCAGCAGGTATAAATACGGCGATTAGAGCAAAATTACTCAGCCTGCAGAAAATTTCATCAGGACCAGGTTATTCTATGTAACAGAAGCCTCGCTTCATACATAGAGGTATATCTAATTGAAGCCTAGCTTCATAGGTATAAAAGAACAATTGGCCAAAGTAAATATTTCCAACTGAAGCCTCGCATCATGGATATAGAGTTGTTATATTAAAGTTTGTGAAATTGCATTTGACTCTGGGTACATACAATGTATGGACCTCCACATTTTCTGAAAGCCTCCCTATCAGGGAATTGGTAACGTATATAAATATTTTATATATTCTAGCTGGAACTTTGTTATAAATTCCTACCAGCAGCTTATCTAACTATCTAATAGAAGCCTCGCTTCATAGATAGGGAGGTAGTTGCTGGACTATAGGAAATTATCGGGTTGGGGCTTGATATCTTTAGTGAATTGGTTAAATTAGTGTTTTATTAGGCTGTGAAATTATTGTATACTTGCTCACTTAAGTTAGTATTTTAGAGTTTATTTGAGAAAACCCTTATTATTAATTTAACTAGATTGTTTTTGATATTTGATCATTTAACAATCATTTGTATCTAATCAAACGGTAGATAGCCCAAAGAAAAATTTATTATATATTTGTTGTACATTCGCTCAGTACACATTACATAACTACAATATCTATTGTATATGTTTCATTTTTTGGTTAAATTCAAATCACAAATACCTATTAGTCGTTTTGTAACTTTTTCTTAACAAATATTTCTTTTTTTTTATCATGTGCACTTGTTAGTTTCTATATATCGAACTTCTTACATCTTCGGCTCATTGGTTCTTTAAATAAATACTTTATTTGAATGAAGTACAAACTGAACTAGAAGAGTTTTGTCACAAAAACGTATGTCTCCCAAAAGTTTTTTATGGTCACTCATGTGAAGTTTCATTGAAATCCCACCAGTAGCTTGACCTGTGAAAGCCAGACAAGATTTTTTTATTTATAGTTCTGACGGCCATTTTGTGCAGCAAATCTGAACGTGCCAGTATTCTGTACAACTAGAGATGGTACTGATCACTCCTGTAAAGTTTGGCTGAAATCCCACCAGTAGTTTGACTTGTGAAGGCCAGACAAGATTTTTCTATTTTTTAGCTCTGGCGGCCATTTTAGGCAGCAAAGCGGAACGTGCCGGTGATGTGCACAACTAGGGATTGTACTGATCACTCCTGTAAAGTTTGGCTGAAATCCCACCAGTAGTTTGACCTGTGAAGGCCGGACAAGATTTTTCTATTTTTAGCTCTGGTGGCCCCATTTTGTGCAGCAAAGCAGAACGTGCTGGTGATGTGCACAACTAAGGATGATACTGATCACTCCTGTAAAATTCGGTTGAAATCCCACCAGTAGTTTGTCCTATGAAGGCTGGACAAGACTTTTCTATTTTTTCGCTCTGGCTACCATTTTGTGCAGTGAAGCAGAAGGTGCCAAGGATTTTCACAACAAGGGATGGTTCTGATTTCTCCTGTAAAGTTTGGTTGAAATCCCACCAGTAGTTTGACCTGTTAAGGCTGGACAAGATTTTTCTATTTTTAGCTCTGGCGACCATTTTGTGCAGCGAAGCGGAATGTGCTGGTGATGTGCACAACTAGGGATGGTACTGATCACTCTTGTAAAGTTTGGTTGAAATCCCATCAGTAGTTTGACCTGTGAAGGCCGGACAAGATTTTTCTATTTTTAGCTCTCGTGGCCATTTTGTGCAGCCAAGCGGAACATGCCCATGATGTGCACAACTAGGGATGGAACTTATCACAAGACAGAAGGCTAGGGCAAAAATTTCTTAACTCATATTTGTATATACAATATTCCATTTTCATAGTAACACTATTACAAGGCAGTCTAAAGGACAGCTTAATCCCCTTGCAGTGAACATGTGTACTTCTTCACCTTTTACCAACCATGACCTTGATGTTATGTCATGCATATCATAAAAGCACATAGTCTCACGATGACGATTATTTGTGCCAAGTTATTTAAAATCTTCCATAAAGTCAAAAAGTTATG